CAACAGCCCTGTACTGTTAATGCCCACTTTACAAATAAGAAAATGGAAGCTCAGATAGGCTAAAGCTTTCAAAGTCATACAGCATTTAGATGACAGAGACCAAAGGTGTACCTGACACCACAAAACAGGTCAGCCTACACTGTACTACCCGGATTAGGAACAAAAGAGAGAAGTCAAAGCAGCCCTGAGTGACACTCCAGCGAGAGCAAGGCCACACGAGAACTACATGAACGAGTCAAAGGAAAATATGGAACCAGAAAACTTGACTGAAATTATATGTGAATTTTTAACTACTTACTATATATAAGACACTGAGTGTTGACAAGAGTCAGAAGGAAATAAGAAGGAAATAAGAACCTGTAATCTTGATTTTTGGATTGCAGGTCGGAAAAAACTATGGTCTATGCAAATGTGTTGGTCTTCACACGGATGGGAATGCTTCTCTCCCACCTCAATATGATGTGTTCTGAATTATAGCCAGTGTAATAAAGGTGGACCTTCTTTCTAAGATTTTAATATTCAAACTCCCAAATCTTATTTGAAGTGGCAGAGTAAATTTTTAGGAGTCACAAGCAATTAAAGATTTACAAGTTTCTGTCTAAAAAAACACCACTTAGAAACAACTTTACAAGAGTAGTATATTCAGTAACACACAGTGAATCCTAAAAATAGTTTCCTGATAAAACAAAAGGTGCACAGGTTGTAATCTTGTCAGCAGGGGATTTAGACAATGACGACTACTCTGACAAGCTTAAGATATAAGTCAGTATCCGACTAAGTAAACAGCCTCAAATAAGAGATGATCAGCATCTGTGGAGAAGTCTAAAAAAGATAGCATCTGGGCTCTCTCTGGTGGTGCAGTGGGTTAAAGCACAGCACTGAGAAGCTAAAGCCACTGCAGCATGAGTTCGATCCCCGCCTGCCCCGGAGGTGACCGCAGGGCGCAGCAGACCTCTCCTGACCGGCCCGCTGCTCCCTCAGCAGTGTACTTCGTCAGTCGGCCTGTTCTGCTCCCCACTCTGTCTCTGGTGAAGCCTCTCACCATCCTTGCACCTCTGGCCTGTACCCCAGTTCTGTATGCATAAATAAATCTTAAAAAAAAGAAGATGGCATCACCTTACATCCCCAACTCCCGGTCAGACTTCCACTAATATAACAGCTGTGCTAAAGGAATCAAGAAACATTAATGATGAGAAGACAAGAAAGAGCAACCAAACAAATCTCTTCTCAGTGAATCAAAGGAGTATAAGTATAAATTCTGTAAAAATGCACCATATGAGCCATAAGACTGATGAGGAGAATTGCATCCTGGACTCCACCTATCAGGTTAATCTCCAAACAGTACTCACTGGTATGCTTCCGGGGTATCAGCTGGCCCTTTTGATATACTGGTACAATATATACTTTATTCAAATGAAGACCATCCTACAAACAAAATAAATTTTTGTTTCCCTTTTCTCTTTGCCCTATTGCACTGGTGGTAAAGCTAACCATACAGATCCTAGGTCAAATGCTTAAATATATCACTCCAGAAAGTCCCACCAAATGCTTTGCAAAGAATAGCAAATGTTCTGGAAGGTCTTTCAAAGAAATGTCTGTGTTAGGAGGTTTCAATAGCCAGAGATTTCAATTTAGCTGTGAAAAATACATCAGCTTGATACAATGTCAACTTCCAAAGACAATTACTAACCCATACAACACAAAGTAGCAGTAAAAAAGGATAAAAACCCAGTGATCCTGGGGAAATAGCTGACTTATTTATGTGGTTCAGCTGATAACTGCCAACATTAAACAAGGATTCTCCGTCTGGCATGATGTACACTAACCTTACAACTAAAAGACTCTCACCCAAATTTTCCCAAAGTTACCTAAAGTCACCAGTCGAGACCAGTTGTGAACTGTGCGATTCATACTACAGCAATTAATACTGACAGCCTCATGAAAAGTCCCTTTAGAACTTAATGTCAGCAAAAGTTGTCATCTTGAAAAGCTGGTATTATTTTCCATGTTTGCAAATGAGATTGTAATTCTGTGATTCCCTTTTATTCTAGAAAAGCTTAAGAGTTATATTTGGTGATCAGCTTCATCGACTGCCTTTGTGCTCAGGGCTCATGGTATTTTTTTCCTTCTTTCCATATAGTGACCTCCTTATCAACAGTGCACGTATCCTGCATTTTAAGTGATTTCAAGTACTCGTTAAAGTGTCAAGTACACTTTTTTAAACCACATAACTATTTTAGCTGCCTATACACACCTACCTCTACCCATTCCGAACAGAAAGCACTTATTTGGCAGAAGAGGAAACAGAGGCACAGAGACTTAGTGGCTTAAGGTAGCAGGCACGGTATGGTCTCAGACACAGATAAAGGTTGCAATCAAGTCAGCCAGCCCTCTATCCACCACATGGCACTGTGGTAGCCTCTGCAGCTTACAAAACCAAGTAATTACGGCTGTAGTTGAAGAAGCTAGAAATCTATGCTTTTAATGGTGGACATCCCCCCTGCTCTAAACAAAGTAAGTAAAATATCAGGCAATCTGAACTGAGGACTATCAAGGTCATCCTGAAGTAACCTACAGCCTCAAAACGACACCAGAAATATCTTCATTTTCCTGAGGGGATTCAGGGCTTGGAATGATCCAAGGATTACTTGGTCTAGATCCAGACTGGAATCCTTAAGGTGAAGGACAGCACCATCTGAAAAAAGCCTTCTTCTCACACCATTCAGCACATGCTATGTTACATTTTTCCCTTTTACTTTTTTCATGCTTTCTCACATTTTCAGCACATGGCAGAGGTACAATGTGATTTAAGTCATAACATCCAACTGAGCTGAAGTTCTGAAAACATGGATCACCTGGGACTTGCTATGTGACCTTGACTAGTCCTCAACTGACTCATTAACTATATAAATTTTTTTTTAATCGCCACATGGGTAAGGGTAATTAGTCATCACACAGCACTTTAATAGAGAGTCCTGCGTAAATGCTGAAAAGCAAAGCTCAAAAAGAACAAGATTAATAAGAAACACTGGGGTACATTTACCAGCAAATGGAAACTTACAGCAGGGTCTTCCCACATTCCTGGCACACTACTGCTTTCAGCTAATGGAATTTGAGTCTCGAAAATCATTAGCACTTGGCCTGACAACAATATACATTAGCAACACTCCTCCTGGGAAGAAAGGAGGAGAGCGGTATTCATTCCTGGTAGGCAACCGCACAGACATTTCAATTATAAGTTAGCCAGGTGGGCAGTTAGTATTTGCGCACCTACTATGAGGCAGGTACAGAGCTTGGCACAACGGATACAACAGTGAACCAAAGTCCCTACTTTTATGGAGTTAACCTAGAGTACAAACTTTGTCTTAGTAGTAGCTGTACTTGGAAGAATAAAGGCTTACTAAAACAAAGGCTGTGAGAACAAAGATGCCCAATCCCCAAAGCAACTAAAGGAAAAGAGGGCAGGCTAATGGGGAGAGAAGGGTTGAGAGAATCAGCATGTGTGGCTTTCCCTTTCTTTCGCCTCACTCATCACAGGTGCTACCTTTGAGCCATCTGCTAGTAATGGCTGTGACACTAAATAGTGCACATCACAGTTACTGCCCCAGTAAGTCAGCTGAACCCAGAGCACTGAAAACAAGGTTAACCAGACTCTTTAGAATCAAGAGCTGTGCCACACCCATTTAAAGGCATTCTATTGGTGAAGTCCTAATTTGGTGGGCAGAGGGAGTCAAAGCTGCAATATGTGATAGTGACCTGAGGTTTCAATCCTGTGTTAGATTTCTGGAGTGGTAGGCTCATTTTTTTTTTTTTTCCCTTGAAAGCCATTTCTCCCACTTGTGACAGCTTAACTAGTTCAGGTGCAGAAGCTTCCAGGACCAGCTACTCCTGCAAACCCCGCTACCTTCAGCATACACAAGCACTGCAGGCAGGGACAGCCCTGAAAGACTGTTTTTAAACAGAAGGGAGAGATTTATCCAGGTTCTTGGTTTCAGCAAGGTCACCTCTCTGCAAAGGTTATTAGGGCCACTGTTAACTGGGTGCCAGGTATGTGGAAAGTCAGGATTGTGGTTGGCAGCAAACGCTCGAAAGCATTAGGGATCCCAACTCTGCCACTGCAAGAGCTAGCTAGCTCCACTAAGCCCTCCAAAGGCTGCCATTTACTCTTCCGCGAGAGAATGGAAGGGTGGCCTCTGAGCTCAACCGACAGCACAATGGACTAACTTGTTCTGCCTCAGTAAGTGCGGCAAAGAATGAGCAATCAGTCGTTCCTTCCCACCCACCCCTTCAACCCACCCAAGCTCCTTCTCAAGGATGCCTCAGAGATCTATTCACACGACTCTACGATCAACCTGCATCCATGACAGTGTGTGCTGTCACCGAACTCCAAATGCTAATTTCTTACATATGCGAATCAACTGGATTGTCGTAGACAGTGAAAGTCACAGTTTTCCATTTCGCGCGGCCCTTATTGCTTTCACCCGTGTAGGGGCGAGCACGCATTCTTCCCTTCTCGCCTTCCGGGCAAAACGCAGTTGCAGCAGTCGGATTAACGGGCCACTGCTCCCAAAGATAAACCCAAAGAGGCGTCGCCAGATTTCCCCACTCATCGGCGGGGAGGTTTTCTGCACGCCCCCCACTTCCCGGGGCTGGTCCCAGGGGTCAACTGAGTGGGTTCACCCCCCTCTCACTCCGCACCTTCCAGGCCCTTCATGCAGGGAAAGTCAGCGGCAAATTTAAGGCCTGGCCCTGCCGGGTTTCAAAAAGATCCTGGGGAGTAGGTCCGAGGGACAAAGGAAAGTGAGGTCAGCGGCGGCCTTTCCAGCTCAGGCTAGGCCTGGGGCCGCTCACCCGGCCCCGTCACCCCACCCCCGTCCTCGGGGAGCACCTCCAGGCTCGCCCCCGCCGACCCCAAGCAGCTGGAGCCCGACCCCGGGCTCGCTCGCGCCCCTTCAGGAGGCCCCGGCCCGGGCCCCCGCCGCCTCCCAGAGCCCCCGCACCTTCTTGGGAGCCTTGGTGACGGTGGCCATGAAGGAGTACTTCTCGGCGTCCTCAATCTCCTTGGCCTGCTTCAGCTCCTCCCCGACCCCGGGCAGCGGCATCGCGTCAGGCATCGACATCCCCCGGCCGGCCCGGCCCGCGGC